TCCAGGCCTATCGCCTAACCCCTGCTAACCCCTGGCCGAGCACAGAACGGGCTGCACCCCTGATACCTCAGAGGCAGAGGAGTTGTAAAGATTAAGAAGGAAGAGATAGGTGATGTGCTTGTGCGCATCACTTGCTCACAGTAACTCAGCAATCACAGGCTCAGAGTGTTCTGGAATTGTGGCCAAATACGGAAACACTGAGATAAGAATACTAAGAAATACAAAGACAAGAAAATGATGAACCAAGAACTTCAAAACTGAATTACCATTACAATTTAAAAGAAGCAAGATACAAAACTGCAGGCACACACTCATTCCCATGCACACAAATACTGACAAAGGACTAAAATAGGCAAGTGTTTGTCTAAAGCAGCCTGCATATACGTGATGACTATTTTTCTTTCCCCTTTTCTGAGTTTTTAAAAATTATAATGAAATTATAGAAATTGTTTATAGTGAAAAGTTATATTCCCATTTTTAATCTTAAGTCACAATTTAAAATGACAATTTATATTTTTACTGAATAGTTTAGAATATTAACACTCAAATCCTTGTAGAATTTAATTTAACACACACACACACACACACACACACACACACACACAAGCCAACAATGTAAGTTGGTCTGAAAGCCAAGTGACCTAACAATGATTCGGGCAACTAAAAATTAGCACTCTGAATCAGAATGCAATTCCAGGAAGGAAAAAGTTTAAAGATGTCCCAGCAGCAAGAAAAGAAAACTCCAAACAAGTACTAATGACAGTTTACTTTTACCAAACAGCTTATCAAGTGATCTGTGTAAATACTGCAAATGTTACAAAGCCCCTCAAAAGTCTCAACATTATTTTTAGATTAAAAACGAATAAAGGCCAAAAACAACACCAATAATTCAATTAAAATAACTCATGCTTGTGTTTACATAAAATTTGATGAGCATAATATATCTGTCACACCACTGCAATTATTCTCTGAAAATAATACTCTAAATATTATTTTGACAATGTAATTACAGTTTTTACCTGAAGAGTGGTAACAAAACGTTGGCACAGATACGCTGCTAAAAATCCCCCAAGAATAAGGTTCTCACAGAGAAATAGTCACAACACAGCACGGGCACTTTATTAAGAACCAGAATACTTTTAGAAGGCTTGTATTAGGCTTGAACGAACATACTATAAAATTTTTTTAAGTTTTATTGTAGAATCCAAATTTCACTGTGGAATTCCAAACAAATTCAGGAACATTGTGGACCGCCCTTTTCAAGAAAAAAGTGAAAAACACTATTTAACTTCCATCTGCCTCCTTGCCTCAGTAATATCCACCCAACTCTGCCTACAAACACACGTCATCTATGTAAAGCTGACACAAGTGGAAAGTAAAGACCTACATCAGGGGAGAGATGGCCCATGTTCATGGACTGGAAGACTCTGTATCATTAAGAAGGCAAGTCTCCCCAAGTGGATCTATAGATTCCACCTAAATGCTAGTATACACAATATAGAAATAACTCTTAAAACTCAACAACAGGGGCGCCTGGGTGGCCCAGTCAGTGAAACATCTGCTTCCAGCTCAGGTCATGATCTCAGCATCCTGGGATGGAGCCCAGAGTCCAGCTCAGCAGGGAGTCTGCTTCCCCTCTTCCTTTGCCCCTCCCCCTGCTTGCACACACTCATTCTCTCCAAAATAAATAAATAATTCTTAAAAAAAAAAACAAAACTCAACCACAAAAAGGCAAACAGCCCAATTAAAAACTGGGCAAAGAACTTGACGAGACATTTCCCCAAAGAAGATTTACAAATGGCCAAAACAAGCACATAAGATGTTCAGTATCATTAATCATGAGGAAAACACAAATCAAAACCACAATGAGACACTACTCCACAACCATCAGGATGACTATAAACCCCAAAAAAGGAAAATAAACACCGGCAAGGATGTGGAGAAACTGGAATACTATACGTTGTTGGTAAAAATGTAAAGTAGTTCAGATGCTAAGAAAAGTCTGGCAGTTCCTTAACAATTTAAATAGGAAATTGACCCGGCAATTCTACTGCTAGGTATATACCCAAAAGAACAGAAAACTGGGGCTCCAATAAATACGTATACAGGCATGTTCAGAGCAGCACTGTTCTAAATGGCCAAACAGGGGCACCACAGCCAAATGGCGGAAACAACCCAAATGGTGGAAACAACCTAAATGGCCACCAATGAGTGAACGGATACACAAAATGTGGTACGTGCACACAACAGAGTATTATTCAGTCATCTAAACAAACGAAGTATTGATACCTGCTACAACATATGTACACTCGGAAACACATTCTGCTTCCTTAAAGAAGCCAGACAAACAGGTCCCATAATCCTCTGATGCCACTTACATGAGAAATCCACAATTGGTAAATCCATAGAGACAGAATGCAGGGGAGGGAAAATGGAAAGCAGCTGCTCAGTGGGTAGAGGGTTTCCTCTCGGAACCATGGAAATATTTGCAATTAGATGTGGTGGTTGCACAACATTGTGAACACTCTCAAGGCCACTCGGTTGTTCACTTTAAAGTAGTTACTTGTACGCTGCGTGAATGTCATGTCAGTAAGAAATATATTCCTTAGTTAAATACAACCGCAGCTGCCAAAACTGTAAACCACTCTGACACACCAACACAACACAACACAACACAACACAACACAGGTGTATGAATACATGCCCTCTAGTTGGTGAAAAGCCGGGCCACCAACCACACAACCAATTTCTCCATCAGTGACAAACTGGGTCGTAAAAAGTGTCAGAAATCGGCTCCTTTAGGTTTTTTGTTAGATCACGGACTTGCTTCAGTGAAGAGAACATCGATCCCGTGAAACAGTGTTTTATCACATAAACACCACACTCTAAGTCTTTTGTGGCTGATCCGGGATGGAGCAGAGCAGCCCAGGGAGTCCAGGGAAGGCAGGAGGGCACATAATGTGCTGACGGAAGGACAGGAAGCAGAGGGAGGGGTAATTTCAGGAGACGCGGTGCTCAGTGGGTGTGCGGGGATGAGGTTCACCGCGCCAAGGAAGGGCTGGCTCGCTCTGATGGCTCTTTAATCACAGTACCCCATGCGGTGCTTCCTCTCGGGTGTCTTATTTAGGAATACATCATCACCAGGGAAACCCTCTTCTGCCCACCATGGCGCTTTGGCGCTGCCAGTAACACACTATCCACTACATCAGTATTTTTCAGTAATTATAAAATGCAGTACGTTCTGAACTCTTTCTGAATTACCATACCACACACAGACTTCAAAAATAGCGGCTTTTCCATGTGACAGAGGGAAATCTGGATTTTACTGCTGATTTTTCATCCCCCAATTTGAGCACAGAGACTTCTGCTATATCATAAAATGGAGCTACAAGAAGATCTTTAAATGTGTAACATCTTAAAAACACTCTCCCACTAAACCCTACACCCTATCAATTTCTTGACAATACCTGAGAAATTACCGCTGTCCAAAAAAAGGCAGAGCAAACACTTTGTGTGCAGAGTCGAAGATGATGTAATTAATTGAAGAGACAATTACAGTTTTCCAACGGAAGAACTCTAAATCAAGCAGAAAGATGCAAGAATTTTAACAAAGGAGTTTTACATGAGAACACGAAGGAATCACAGAATAGAAGGAGACTAAACCAAGCAAGCAGCACCTCTGACAGCTAATGTAGCCACCGTACTCTGTGCCTCTGTTTCTCCACCTGTGAAGAGGCTGCCACCTCGAGTTCCCTAACCTGCCTTCCAACAGCAGGAGGTATATCAACGTGAGGGAAGCAGGCCTCACTGTTTAGAGTCAGTGAAGGCACTGAGAGCTACACGGAAATCAGTTTGTAAATCAGATCAGATTTTACAAACAGCTGCAGATTTCTCCTTTAGAGGAAGCATTTGTTGGATTATTATTAAAAAGAATTCTTCTAACCGACCATCTAGTACATTGTCTTATAAAATGGGACATTTACATTAAGAAATTTTCTTATTTAAAAAATAAATAAACAAATAAATAAAAAGATTTAATTATTAAATGATTTGGGTTTGCCCATAAGTGTTTCAAGTCCTTGGATAAAGAGGTCGTATGTTAAAGTGCTGACTCTTATGATATCACGAAAATAACCCCTGTCCAAAGGACAAGTATGGATGCTAATAGTTTAAGAACCAAAAACATTCACCAAAAAGTCTAGAACAGCTTCCTGGTCTTCAAATTAAGAGGCCTGATTTTTCTCTTAATCCCTTATCAACAGCTATGAACAATCAGAGCTTCCTTCCCTCTTGGTCACGCCATATACTTCACTTATATTTAGTGCGGACTCTTCTCACTGCATTGTAAACACACAGAGGCAAAGACTCTTCTGTCTGCTCTTGCTCACCGTTGGGATCACACCCAGCACCGAGAACAGGCATGCCACATCCACACGAGTAATACAGAGACGCTGTATTACTTTCCAAGGGCTGCCCTAACAAAGCACCACAGACTGCTCGGCTTAAACAATGGGAATTTATTTTCTCAGACTTGGAGGGTAGAAGTCCAAGATCAAGTGGTGGGCAGGGCTGGCTCCTTCTGAGCCCCTCTCCTGGGCTCGCAGACGGTGGTCCTCTCGCTGTGTCCTCGTCTGGCTGTCCCTCTGTGTCTGTCTGTGTCTTCTTCTTATAAGGACACCAGCCATAATGGACTAGGGCCCACCTGTAGGACTCCATTTTACCTTACTGATCTCTTGAATGGCCCGGTCTCCAAATCCAGTCACATTTTGAAGTAGTAGGAGCTGGGGCTCCACCATATGGATTTAGGGGAGAGTCGGGGGGCGTAACTCAGCCCACAACAGAGCGAGGAAAGGAAGTTGTGGCAACTTTCTCTTATGCTAATTCGCTAACATCACTAAATAAGTTTCTCTGTATCATGAAATACAAAACATTTGCTTTAACTCAAAGTTGTGGTTTTTAAATCCTTTTCAAAGGTACAAATAACCCATGAATCACAGTACCTGTCAACAGGGATTCCTGTTCAACCCGCAGTTCACGAAAAAGAAGAATCAGATCAACAGCGACGCCAATTGTATCCAAGTTCCTATAAAAGATTTTTTTAAAAAGACAAAGTCAGACCCATTAATTTTCTTGAGGCTGCATTTCAAACGATGATCCAGGGAATGGAGCTGCAACTACTGGCTCACGGCGTCTGTGGTAAACAGAATCGTGGCCCCTCGAGCTGTCCGCATCGTAATCTCAAAACCTGCGAATGTGTTACCTCCCAAGGCAAAGCGGACCTCAGGGTTGTGAGTAGATTCAGGATCTTGAGATGGAAAGATCACCCTGGATTAGCCAGTGGGCCCAATGGGGTCACAAGGGTCCTTAAAGGAGGAATACAAGAGGGTGTCATAGTCGGGGAAGGGGCCATGAGCCCAGGAGTGCAAGAGGCTTCCAGAAGCTTCTAAAAAGGCCAGGAAATGGATTTTCCCCGAAAGCCTCCGCAGGGAACTCAGCCACGGTGACCCATTCTAGCCTTCTGAATTCCTGAACCAAAAGATAACAGATCTGTGTTGTTTTAAGCCACGGAGCATTTGGTAATTCGTCACAGCAGCAGGAGGAAAGTAATCCAGATTTGGGGTAGCAGAAGTAGCAATGCTGCTGCAGATAAACATCTGAACATGTGGGAGCGGCTCGGGAAGCTGGCGGTGGGCAGGGGCCAGAAGAACAGTGAGCAGCATCGGAAATGCTCAGACGCCTTCACGGGCTGCTGGTGGGCACATGGACGCCAAAGGCAAGGCCAGTGAGGGCTCAGAAGGAAGTGAGGAACCTATCCCTAGAAACTGGGGAAAGGGGGCCCTTTACCCACAGGGGCAGAAGCTCAGCAAAATGATGAACTTGGATATTGAGCTGAGCACATTTCCAAGCCCCATGCTGAAGGTGTCAGCTGACTGCTTCCTGTTGCATCTAATAAAAGGCCAAGGGGAGAGACAGAGGAGATGAAGAGAGAACCAGGTCTTGCTTCGGGAAATTCTCAGTCTAGCCAGATGGCAAAAGATGCTAAACCTGGGATAGTCACTGGCAAGAAAGCGTGCTCTGCAGAGAAAGTCAAGGGGCCAGGAGGACAACCTTTCGCTCACGCCTAGGAAGGATCAAAAGGTCAGAGTGTTCAGTCCCAGGGCAGGAGGGGCTCTTTGAACAGATGACGGTGGGACTCATTCCCCTCTGTCATCTCGGCAGAACCCAGGAATGGAGATAGGGTTATCCAGGAAAGCTCTGTGCAGGACCCTTTTGTCTAATCGTGGGAATCCCCATGACATACATGTGAGAGCCACAGCGTTGTTGAAAATGTTTTACCAGGAGAAACTCTGCCAACTTGGACAAAATGCACAGAGAAAGGATGAAATTTAAAAAAAGAAAAAAAAAGTGTCAGACTCCCAAAATTCTATAGGCAGGAAGTAGACTGATGGAATGACTCAGGTGCAAACACATGCTCCCTTCGGGAAAAAAGAAGGGTGACTCTGAGGGCAGGGCCAAGGGCACAGCCTCAAGCCCCAGACGATTGTTCCCAGACCTTGAAACCTAGCTGACATTGCTTTGCTTGGGATCAGTGATTCCTCTTTTGCTTCTATTTTCTCCTCTTTCAAAGGATAATGTCCAAAATGGTTATCCTAGGCCTGCCCCCAAACTGCATTTGGGGAGCAGGTAACTGGTCCGGTTTCACAGGCGCACCGATAAAGTGGAATTCTACCCCAGGATGCATACATCCAGAGTCTGACCCATAAGTAATTTACATGACTGCATAATGAGATTTGGGACTTTTAGCTGATGAGATTCTGGACTCGAGTTGATGCTGTCAGGGTAAAAAATGTGGGGCCTCAGGAAGGCATGAATGCATTCTGCACACGGAATCTTTAGGGGCCACGGGGGTGGACTGTGGTGGGGAGAACAATGGCATCACCGAGGCAGAAATGTAGCTTGGGCAACTGGTTCGCATCTGAAGTGGGGACGTCTTACGGGACCGAGTCCTTTAAGTTATGGGATCTGATGCCACTGACCCCAGGCAGGTGGTGTCAGAACGGAACTGAATTGCTGGACACCCAGCTGCTGCTGAAGAATCAAAACTGGTCAGAAATATCAGAAGAGACTTTTTAGATATGATTAAATTAATGGTTTTGCAATGGGGAGATTATCCTAGACTATCAGGGTGGGCATCATGTAATCCTAAGAGTCCTTAGCAGGGGGATGCAGGAGGGTGGGAGACACAAAGAGTCACTGGAAGACACTCTGGTGTTGCTTTGAAGATGGAGCCGTGAACAAGGGATACAGGCAGCCTCTAGAAGGTAGAAAAACAAGGGAATGGATTCTCTGCTAGAGAGAGAATCTCTACTACCAGCCCTACTGGGTCTCTCACTTGAGGTCAGTGAAGCTGATTCTGGACTTCTGACTCAGAACAGTAAGATAATAAACCTGTTGTTTGAGCAAGCCATTATGTCTGCAGCAATTTGTTATAGCAGCAACCGAAACAGCTCCCTACCTTCACTTCTCCACTCGAATCAGAATTAAGCCAAGACATTCACTCCTTAAAGAACAGCAAGGTCAGGGGTGGTGCGGACACGGGTAGGCCCTCTCAGCCTTCCCCAAGGCCAGACGGTCAGAGAGAGCCACTGCTCCTTTGTTCTTTACTTGTAAGACTGGTAGGAACAGTGGCTCAGTGCCTGCCCCCCAGAAGATGGCCCTGCCAGAAGACAGCTGATATTTCATCTGCCACAGTATTTTTCTTGCAATGTTTGAATTTTTATAGTTTGCATATCACTTGTACACTCAGAAATAGAAAATAAAGATTAATTGCTAAGAAAGTTGTATTATCATACACTTTTATTGCACTAGCGTTCCCGAGGGGCAGAAACACAGTTACTGAGCAGACCATGGGCACGGCACAGGAGGCAATGTGCATAAGTAATCTCATTTAAAACGCCCAACAGCCCTGGGTGGGAGATACTGCTTGCCCTGACTTCCAGAGGCGAAGACCAACCAGTACTCAGGAAGGTCGAGGCCCCAGTTCAGGGTCCCGTGGCCGTTCAAGGGATGGAGCAGTCACCCACAATAGGGTCAGCAGGTGTGTCAGGGCAGTTATGACAAGAGATTCTGAGCTGAGCTTGGGAGTCACCAAGAGCATTCCCTGGCTAGTCTACCGTTCATAGAGTGAGGGACTGTCAGACAAGTTCCTTAGCCCGAGTCACACTTTCTTCTTTTGTGAAAGTGGAAAAACAGTAGCATGCTATTTCTTGGGTTTGTTCTAGAAATAAAACAAGACACTGCAGTTAAGCCCTGGGAACAAAGCCTCGTGTGGAGGGCAGGCCCACCGAACGCTCGCTTCCTTCTCTGCGAGGCTGGCAAGGCACAAGGGCACGTTTGCCAGCCCGCAGTCAAGAGTTTCTGTTCTAAGGCTCTCCTCTCCCTCCCCCATCACACCGGAGGGGATCCCCTGTCGGGAAAGGGACAAAAAAAACTAGCCTCCGCCCCTGGCTTCGTTTCGAGCACATAACTAGTTATGTTTTAAAATGCTAACTATGATTAACAACATTATTAATGTTTCTCTGCATTTACCTGCAAATGGACAGCAGGGTCTGCTTAGTATTGAAATTAAACAACCCTGGCATTTATCCCCACTCTCCTTTGATCTTAAAAATCTCATTCATCACATCAAAGCCTCAGGTATAAGACCGTCTAGGCAGCAAAGGGGGTCCCTCCAGTGGCTTCTGGACCAGCCCAGCTTCACCCACCACAGCAGTGACAGAGAGGCCTGGAGGCTCCATCTACATTCAAGTCCAAGAAAGAAAGGGGAGCGTGCTCTTTGTGGCTTCTGACTTCATCTCGAGTAAAAATTTGTAATAAAAAGCAGATTCCATTAAATCAAAGAAGAAAGGTGCTCAGTTCTGGGAGGAGAGAGTAACAGGCAAAAGAACAAAAACGGCACCTAATAATTCTCTCGTTTATCTTCTTTCCTCCTTTCAGAAACATGAGCCTTATAAAACAGGTAGAAGGAGAGCTTGCAACTGCACGATCTAAGGAAGTTTTAAAACAGGTCGTCTTAGAGAGCTGTAAGACGCGTTCCTTGTTCAAAGTGTTTAAACACAAGGCTAACTAATTAAAACACTAAAACTAATTAAAACATTTACAACTAAGAAAAGTGAGGTCCAGAACTGTGTATGCCTTTAGAAAGGCAGAATCTAGGATCGGGTAATCAAAATTAAGTTAAAATCACCATGCTATATGTCTATAACCAAATACCTCAAAACATATTAGAAAGAGAAGAAACCAAAATAACCCTTAATGTTAAAAACACTCTATTATATGTCATATCATTTATATGCTCGCCTACAAGTGTCCAGTGGCAAGACTGCAGAGCATTTGTCCGCTGGAGATGTAATCCTAGCCTTGTGGTTACCGCTGGGTAATAATACTATGATGCCAAAACTATTTCTCACCGATAAACCTATACAGCAGACCAGCATGCACATACGCAAGGAAATACAATCAAAGGTACGTATGTCACCGCAAAGAACACTACCTGATGGAATTCTGGTTCACGGAACACTCGATACAAGCATTTCGAAGACACCTGAAGCATTCTGTTATTAGCTGCAGGCTGGAGGCCAGATGCTCCACCTGGGATGGATCTCTGCAGGCCAGCTCAACAGCATGGGAAGATTTCTTCAAGATGTCCAGGACTCTTTGGAAGATAGTCCTGGGTGCGGTTTCTCTGGGAAAAAAAAAAGGATAAAACTGTTACAAACCAGAGGGAAAAAATCTAATTTCCAAATGTCCTATTCAGAATACTGCTTACACTTATTTCTGTGGGGAGGTGGGCTAGACCTGTCTGTTCTCACTCCTTAACTTACAACACAAAATCGAAGAGCTACATACCCGGAGCGCTTAGCCAGGCACCGTTCTTACCAACCTTTTCATGTGTTATTTAAAGACAAGTGAAATCGAGGGGAATTTAAGTAACTTGCCCATATCACTGGGTTAATAACGGGCAGAGGCCCATTTCCAATAGAAGCAGTCTGACTTGGTATTCCCACCCCCTGTGACAACCCAAATACCAGTCTCAGGGGAGGGTCTATGCTTATGGATCTGTCCTTAATCAAAACAGATTATGTACAGTCTCTGTTCTAGAAAGAGAATATGACTGTGTCTGCTGCCGCCCACCATGTACTAAAGTACAACTACGAGAAACACTATTCATGAAACTGTCTGGGAGGCCAACCCGCCGTCCGTTCTCTAGATGCAGAGAATCCAGCAACACATGCACGGAGCTTGTGTATATATTCCACTGCACAGATGAGAAGGAGAGAGAGAGAAAGAGGGACGGAGGGAGGGAGACAGGGAGGAAAGGGAGGAAGGAGGGAGATAAACAGGGAGAAACACACACAGAGAAACAGAGACAGTGATGGGGGGGGGAGCAGGGGACAGGGCAAGCAAGCAGTGAGCGAGCGAGCGAGGGCACCCTCCCACCTAGGGGCGTGCCCAGGGGAGAAATATGAACCTGTGGCTGGTCCCTCTGGGCATCTCAGTCCCCCCACGCCTCGCATCCCGGAAGCACGGTCCACACTGACTACCGTTACAGAGCTATGAAGGTAAGAATTTTTTGTGCAACATGGCTCCAAAATGCAAGCCAACTTCCTCATTCCATGAATCTCCTGAAGAAACAGCCATCTGTTTTAAGGTCAGAAGAAAAACTGCTGCGCTGGACAACTGGAGAGATTCTCGAAGATTCGCACCGACCGTATGAATGGCCGTGGCCCAATCCCAGCACCCCTCCCCTTCCTCCCACTGCGCCAGGTCACCGGGGGGCTGCTAGTTCCTACAGAACCCTGGCACCGGACCACCCAAGTCACTGTGCCCGCTCAGGTGCTGCCGGAGCCCCTCCACACATCTCTCCCTGCGCAGGGCCCAGGGACATGCCCCTCCTTGAGCTTCAGGACCCTGAGTCCTTGTACTGCAACTGGCACGTTTTCAGCTCACGGAGAGAGGACGTAAATCACATTATTTATCAGTGACTGAGTAACCAAATGAAACCGTGGAAGCCCAAGGGTACAGTACTTACCCTGTCTCAGTGACTGTAGGAAACAATTACACACATAAGCCCTTTTCAGTGACAATTTGCCATAAAGAAAATTCACGCACGCTCTCGAGACATCTTTAAGGAGTACTAAATATAGCGCAGATGTTAACACGCTAAGAAAACACCCAAGAGTTTAAAACATGTGGATGGATGCCAAGCGTGATCAGGATTTCTACAACAATAAACGAACCTCATTATCTGCCCCCAATGCACAAAGTTTTGACGGCATCTATTATTTAATGTTATGGTCAAATAAAAGGAGTGGCGACCCCTTGAATCATCTGCAATAATGCCTCTTTCTCCTCCTGAGATAGCATCATCTCACTTGTGATGAAGAAGCCGACATGACCTCTGCCCACCAGGCCTTTGCAAGCTACCCTCATGCGGGCACCACCTTGCTACCATGAATGGTCTTCCCAGAAGCCGCTCTTTGAAACCTTAACATCTGTTGTACTCAATACTGGTATCGAAAACATCAAAAGCTTTGGACTCAAAACTGTGGTAGACGATAAAGCAAGATGGGAAAAAAAAGCACTGTTCTTGGGTAAATTGGAGAACTGATAGTCCAAGCATGGAACAATTAGTAAGTTCCTGAACTATCCTATGAATAATTCCCAATGCTGCATAACTAATTTGTCACGTACGCACAAAGCCTTTCTCCTTTGTTACACTTTTAATCAAAAGAAAAATGTTTAACTGAGCTAAGGCCAATCATCATCTTCCTAAAGTCAAAATAACTATTAATAGCTGCCAGAGAATCATCATGGTAGCCCTTATTCAGCACACGGCAACTCACGTTTGCGGTGTGAAGAGAAAACAATTCGGGACGGTGATCACTGTCATTTGCTCTCCCCAGGCTGCACACCCATGGATTCCTGAAAACACCAGACACTTGCAAACCTCTCTGCTTAAACATACACCCTCCCCCCAGAATGCACCTTCCACACAACCCCCACCCAATTCTCTGCCTGCAAAATCCTGCATCTCTTTATTGAGGCCTTTTGAAAACTCCCAGCCCTGGAGAAACTCCCCCGCTACTCCAGGCAGACCAGCTCCCACCTCGACGTCCCACTGAACTCCATCCATAAGACTGGACTAACACCTACCCACATTAGATTAGACTCACTTCTCCAGCCCAGCTCCCCCACTGGCCCATAAATCATGGGAAAACAGCCCATCCTATTTTTTTCTGTATCTCTAGGGCCCAGATCTGGCATTCACTAATTGTATTTATTCAAACTGGTAACAGTGATGAGACATTTCGCACGCTCGGTGGCATCTGCCTGCCTCACAGGTGCAAACTGAGCGGGTACCCTGAGCCGGGCACCAGCCGAGGTGAGCAGGGGAATTAGTGCATGGGGTGGCAGCAGCTGGAGATAGAGAACAATCGGGGTATCCCTTTGCCTCTTCCACACCCGTCAGGGAATCCATACATCCTGGGCTGCACATCTCCTTTATCCTCGAAAGAAGGTCATGTTTTCAGTAAAATGTAGGTATCTTATGACTGATACTTAACAAACATCTAATCTCTCCTTCTCCACAGGTGACACAATGGATGAGCTTAAAGGGGGGAATGTAACCCGACCGACCATATTTTAAATTTCCCAATAGCGAAGACTATTTGTTAGATGTCTGGCTCCCCTAGAAAGCGTAGAAAAAACCCTTTCCTTGAGAGTGATACAATAAATGCTTATAGACTTGACTCACCATCTTTGTGTATAATACATGAACAACTTTCACCAGATGCAGAAAGAGCTTTCACTCGCTACCAGTAAGAACTAGGAAAGCATCGGGGCGCCTGGGTGGCTCAGCTGGTTAAGCCACTGCCTTCGGCTCAGGTCATGATCCCGGAGCCCCGGGACCGAGTCCCGCATCGGGCTCCCTGCTCAGCAGGGAGTCTGCTTCTCCCTCTGACACTCCCCCCATCTCATGTGCTTTCTCTCTCTCTCTTTCTCTCTCTCTCAAATAAAAATCTTAAAAAAAAAAAAAAGAACTAGGAAAGCATCTAACAGTCTTGTATATACTTCTGTGTTCCCCAACAGCCTTGAAAGAAAGCTATTTGGTATAACAGATCCAAATAGCCCTAATGTACTCTGTCTTCAAGTTCTAAGTTCCCAGTCAAGACAATGCGGCTAAATACGTGAAATGATTAACGACAGTGGAACAGTAAAGACCAATGGTTCCATATTACAAATGTTACTATTAATAATCATAATTGCTGTCACTTCTGCTTTAACCAAACTAACATAAAATATTCACAGACTTTAAAAAGCTTAGCTACTTTATTCATAGAAGGCAGAAAGTACTTAGGAGGACAATTAAAATTCAACTGTTAGACATTCCTATTAGATAGGAATGCATACCCCGAAGACAACGTACAAATGAAATGTTACATTACAGAACAAAAAAAAAAAGCCTTTGAATTCTACAAAAGGTAGAATTTCATTTCCTTCAAGTTTGAACAGATCTGTAGGTTTAATCTTGGCAAGTCCAGTCTGAATAAAATTAAAGAAAACTCCCCATGACCGTATGTCAGAGATTAGATAGGCCCGCGGCCCGATGTGCACACACATTTTTCCAGTCAGTCATCCGTCAGGCTGGACCTCCTGCTGAAAAGGAAACCAAAGGCTCATCACTGCCCTGCCCTGCTGAGACTTCCCTGCTTGAGAAAAGATGGATTCTAATACCTTGCACCCAAGTTCCAAGATTAAAATAAGAATCACTGGTTGTTTTGTTGATATTTTTTACCTTAATCTTGGTTTTCAAAAAATTACAGAATGTGTATAAATGAATAAGGACAAATAATTTGGCTGTGTTTTAGACAGCATTAGAATATATTGTTCAGGGCGCCTGAGTGGCTCAGTTGGTTAAGCGACTGCCTTCGGCTCAGGTCATGATCCTGAAGTCCCGGGATCGAGTCCCGCATCGGGCTCCCTGCTCAGTGGGGACTCTGCTTCTCCCTCTGACCCTCTCTCCTCTCATGCTCTCTCTCTCACTCTCTCTCTCTCAAATAAATAAAATATTAAAAAAAAAGAGTATATTGTTCAGCACAGTAAAATATATTTGAAATCTGATGAACCAGAAATGTGGTTTCAACTGAGTATTTTGTGAATTTTTCTTAAAAGACCAAATTTGTAGACTAAACATAATAATAAAATCTTGCAGCAGAAAAAAAAAAAAATCACCACTGGTTGTTATTTAAAACCACAACCCCCCCCTTCCCCCACCACCCTGCTTACTGATCTGACCAGGCTGGACTGCACAAAATAAAACAGAAAATAAAAACATTTGCTTCTCCTGCCAGAAACTGCCTGGGGCAGAATTCTGAGATTCATCTTTGTAGACCTCAAGCTCTCCTTTCCCTCTTCTGTTCCATCTGGAACTCTCAAGCTGTCGCTGATAGCACAGACCAATCGTTTATCTAGAAAAGGCCAGGGAGTAAACGCTTGGGACTAGAGAGCCTGCCCACGTCTGTCACTGCTCCGTGACAGACAAGGCAGCCACAGACAACACCTGAGCGAACAAACATGGCTGAGGGCTGATAAAGCTCCACTGAGGGGCACTGACATTTAAAGTTCATGCAGTTTTCATGTGCCACAAAGTTTATTTTTCCCAACCACTTAAAAATGTAAAAC